CAAAAGTAGGCAGTCACCTTAACACATTAAAGCATTAATAATGTGATCATTATTGTATTGAATATTTAAATATTGAGCCTACACTAGCAGGTCCTTATCTAGATTAATACAAAGTCAAAGTATTGGCCGATAAGCAGAGTTGCAGAAATCCGCGGCGTATGTTGCATATTATGTCTTATTCCGGCAATTCAAAGATTATTTGAATTGGTAATTAATTTAAATGCCCTGGCGATCAATGAATAAATGTATATTTAAGCAATGGTCAATGCTTAGCGTGCTCCGCCTCGTGCAACTCTTACGCTACCATCGTGCTCTCCCAACTATCCGCGTAAACCATCAATAGATTTACGCACTGCTATAGCATTGAACATTGCTTTTATAACATAAAGAACAACTTTACGCGATAAAAACTGTTTATTTCGCTCTGATCAAATCACAGATTCTCCTAAGATGCGAGCACGATACTTTTCGAGCTAAATTTGAAATCAGTCGGAGCAAAAACAGCTCAATTTGTATCAACCTTCATTTTAAAAACTTTTTCCAAAACATTTATGTAAGGGAAGCAGTTCCTAAATGTATTCTTAAACGTTTTCATTCACAAGAAAATATTAAAGTTAATTTGACTGAGGAGAAGTCGATTTAGCGATCTTCGTTGGAGCTTGGCTGCATCACAAATTATCTGAACATTTTGAAACGTAAATTTTTCGAAAACTAAGTCGAAAAATTGCATCAGTGGCTTTACTTGGACTCCAGTAACCATCATAGTGTTTTGCTGGACTACTGTGGTGACCTGTACGGCGGATTGAGAAAGAAAAACTGAACTAATTGACTTCTCAAATGCAAGACTTCTCGATTTCGCTGCAGTGAGCTGGCCGGTGGAAGGGCGAGGTTTTTAGTAAGCCAAACTTGAGCTCAAGCAAATACACTATGAACTTTTTATGGAAAGGAAATCAATAGTTATATTTTACCTTTAGATGTACAGAAAGGTAGACCAGTTAGTAGTCTTTTTAGTTTTATCAGAATGCTTGCAATTTTCACCGAATCTTCACCAAATTGACGTCACCAGCGTGCTCCATACGAGTGCTCCATACATTTTTTCTTCATAGGTGGTGAACCAATCAGAGCGCGTGTTATATCTTAGTTATGTTATAATACAAATCGCAACCTTAACGACACATTAAGCCGAGCGTTTATACAGCACGGACACGAATTCTGTAAATGGCTTCTAAAACGTAAACAGGGACCCTTTTCAAAGTATTCTTAGAAAGACTTTGTTAGAGCGGATGCAATTAAACCGTGAAATAAAATCAAACTAAACACTAACTAATAGTATCTATTTAGTGACTTATAGTACACTCCACAAAATTACTCGAATCTGATTGGTCGAGAGGAGTACAATTATAGCGTTAATCGTACTCCGTAGGAGTACCAAATTAAGTCGCTATGGCAACACGGCCAAAACAATGTCAAAACAATTATTTTCTATCATTTTGTACTCAAAAAACATATAAATAAAATTTCAAAGCCGTAAGAACTAATCTTTTTTATGCATTTCAGTTGCGCGATGGACTGAAAATTGGCCGGCAAATAGACAAAGATGAACGGCGTCGCTTCGCATTTTTTTACTGAAATTTTGTTGAGTGAACTATAAATAAAAAATCGCACGATCTTCTCGTACAATTTGGAATAAATAGACACGAGTAATGTTTTGAAAGTTCTTTAATTGCACTCGCCTTTGCTCGAGATCGTGCGATTTCCTATACTATTAGTCACTATTACTCAACCAGAACATTCATACAAAGGACAAATACACAAGAGATTATTTGTGTCTTTTGTTTTATAAATGTTCTGGTTGAGTAATAGTGACTATTAGTCACTAAATAGATACTATTTGTCAGTATTTAGTTTGTTTTTATTTCACGGTTTAATTGCATACGCGATAAAAGGCGATTTGGAAAGCATGGGTGGTGTAGCGGTGAGAGCGCTCGCCTCTCACCAATGCGACCCGGGTTCGAGACCCGACGAGTTCGGTGTTGTATATGAGTTGAGTTGTTGGTTGGTTCTCTCCTGTGCTTCTAGGGTTTTCCGGTTTTTCTGGGTTTTCTCAAATCTCAAGGTCCAATAAAAAGAGCATAAAGTAAACTAAGAATACTCAAAGTATGCTGAACTCACCTATATCAAACTGATTGTGAAGTGATCGAAAATCCAAAATGGCTTCCTCTGCAAACAACGTGCGTGGATTCTTCTAGCGACGTCACTTGGCGAATACAATGGATTCCATGGTTACGGGAATTACCCGAAGCGATTGGCTGAGAAGCGTTATCCGAAAAATACGAAATCTAGCCACCCCAATAACTCTTCACGAGCTAAAAATGGTAAACCATCGAGTTGATTTTTCATGGCTTGGCTGACGTCACTTCCGTACGTATGTACGTCCGTATACACAACACAAAACTACTCGCAAATGCGGCTCTCAAATGCACAGAAAAAAATTAGGGCAATGGAAGTTATAGACCAAAAACGATTAAAAAAACTTTCATGTAGTCAAAGATGGATCAAGAAGTGTTCTTCAAGAATTCAGGTATGCGTTTTTTAGCAAACAATCGTATATTATTCGTCATTTTGTATTTGCATTGCAATTTACATTATTTTCTATTTTGTCACAGTTGTTCTTGTCAAGTTTAACTGAATGTAAACTTTGTTTTTGAAAAACTTTTGTCGTTTGTGATTCGGCAGGTCTAAAACGCAGACCGGAAAATTGTAGATATGTTTTGTCTAATCGCTTGTATTCCCTAAGACTACTACTGCATCTAATGATCTGCGGCAACTCATTCCATAGGGATGGTGCTGCACGTGAAAAAGCTCTATATCCATGTTTCAAGTTTATATGTTACACTTACTAAACGCCTTGATATTGGAGAAGATCGAAGATTCCTTCTGGGTATATACGGATCAACTAATAGACCCGTTTTGAATTCCAAATTACCGCTGTGTTTCTTGATTACAGACTCATTTGCACAGGCGGTTAACCTCGAGTTTGTGCAGAATATTCACGTGTTCCAGTCAAGGTTCGTCGAGTTTCGATATGTTTGTATTGTTGAAGTTGTGCATTCTTTACTTTACTGTTGGTACTTGTGAATATTTAAACACTGATACGAGGCTAACCCTGTGCAAATAAGTCTGTAATCAAGGAGCACAGCGGTAATTTGGAATTCAAAACTGGTCTATTCCGATAAATACGATGGCGCGAGATTATTAAGCGCCTTATATGTTAGCACTACAAGATCTTTTGGAAAAAAAAACATATAGCTGGCCAAACAAGCAAATAAAATCAAAATTTAGCGGCCCCATCTTTGAGTATAAAGCAGAGTATTCGATATGTATGAAAGAGTCAAAATGAACTGTCAGCATTAGCCAAACATACCTTTTTTTCTATTTTTTCAAAAACAAACAGTGCTAACACATCTGTCGACAAAAAAGAAGGACTTCGCGCGGCTGTGCAAAAAGAGTATAGACTTTAAATAACGAATGCTTTCTTTGTATCGCTTTGCCTTAATTTAGTTGTTGAACTTCCGCTGACTTGATCTCCATAGGTGCGTGGTTCAATTCCTGGACAAGCCATGCATGTAATGTAATATTGTGTAATATTTTTTATTCAAATACTACTTTAATTGATATTATATCACATCAAACTTAAATAAAGTGATAATCAATTCTTATCTATCAGAATTCGGCATTTTGGGTGAAAATTCCTCTAAATCGGAAAACCCTATTCAATCGAACGTTGCGGTGTTCGAACTTTAAAGGCAATCGAACACCAATTGTATTATATTAAATCTCTATGTTATTTATTGTGTTCTATAACAACTCCTGAATATCAGTTACAGAACACCTGGAATATCAGTTACAGGGCTTGATAATCGGGGAAGACTTAGAGTGCGAAGGGATTCAAGCTGCCTGAGCTGCCCTGAGTGATCCATCACTACACACACTAGCAGCTAGCATAATCAAAAGCTCATGAAAACATTCTAGTAAAACTAAGTATGGCTTCAGTAATAGCACAGGTAGCCCAAGCTTGGTTTCTGTGGTGTCCTGTTATAAGGAAATGTATGGAGATTCATCAAAAATTTCAATAAAATCCTTGAAACGTGAAATAAAGCTTCGAAATTTTCCCCGATCATTGAGAAATAGCACTTCTTTCGCTCTGTGTGGTTATTTTTCGAATTTAGCCCGTTTTAAGATTTTTCCCCCCACCAGTAAGAAATAGCTCTTATTTCAAGTCAAGACATTCATTAAAAAAAGCACTTTTCATTAGTATTTAAAGCGAGAGTCAGATTTCAAGCTTTGGAGGAATTTTCAAAGTCATGGCAGCATTGAGCAAAAAAAATCTCATAAAGTCGATCGAGCGAGGAAGAACAGTCGTATTTACGAAGTGACTTCGTTAAAAAAACAATAAATGATGGATGTACGTAGATCGTAGAAAAATCGAGAGAAAGCTGAAATGAAGAACAATTCAATAATGCAATCTGGRAGAAAGTTTGGCCACTTTGGTCATCCAAATAAGTAGTTCTGAAAATAAAGTAAATTGATCGTCGGACATCAAAAACATGCGAAGCGATGTTCTTGTATTTGGTTAATCTGTGAAGGTACAAATMTGAGGTGATATTTTATATTGCATCATGTGAAAAAGTCATACGACACTAGGTCAATTAATTTAATACGCATAACGCAACGCAAAGTTCTTACAGTAATTTTACTTTTCTTGGCACTTTCCTTTCGAATATCAGAAAGATATTTCAGTCGGTAATTATTAATGTCTTAAAGATTATTTCTTCAAATTTCCAGCTCGAATAAAAGAGTTTTAATTTTGGAGCGATTTTCTTCCAAAGCATTTGTCCTTCAATAATTTAGGCTCCGCCTCCTTAGRGGTATATAATGACAGAAGCCACGCTCAATCTGTACGCCTGTCAGGTACGGCCGGAACCACAACTGTGGTCTATTGCTCTTGGTTGATTGTCGTCGAATACGGTCCTAAGGTACATGTGCACTCCCTTGTTCTTTATTTAGAAATAAATTTATACTTTAACGTAGTTTACATTAGGAGCCGGAGACCACCTTATTTTCGCACGAGCCGGCTCTGAACACGTACGTACTACGGTGGCCCACAAGTGTTACGGCAAACTCAAACCTTCCACGGCAAACCCTCAAACTTTTCACGGCAAATTCAAACTTTCCAGGCAAACTCAAATTTTGCCACGAAATTCACACGACCCTCCTCCGGAATTCAATATCTCACAAATTCTACTAAATCTATGGAAAATCTAAAATCGATGTCTGATTGTCAAATAAATTTACTTTCGTTTAAGCTCCTGTAGAGTTTTTTCTGTCTGCGCTTCAAGAGTCAGCCGATCACAGATAAATTATCGTGCTATTTTTCTATAAATTCACTAAGGGCTGGTTCACACTTTAACATAAGCATAAGCATATGCATATCCATGCATATATGCATAAGCAAAAGGAATGAAAACTTTTCCATTTTCTCATGCTTATGCTTGTGAAATCCAAAGTGTGAGCCGGACGTACATAAAATATGTTGAACTGTGAACCAAGTGTGAAGTGTGTGCTTGTGGTTTGTCGTGGAAAGTTCGAGTTTGCCATGGGAAGTTAGAGTTTCCCGTGACACTTGTGGGCCACCTTGACTGCGGACTGCAGACGAAACAAAAAAACAAATAATAAATACAGCAAAAATATAGATAATACTGATGAAAATACTSGCACATACCAAACAAATATTGAATATAACACGACGTAAAGTAATCCGAAATCATTTACTGCCCAAACTATTTTGTCTTATTCCTAGCCATAATCATCAATGTGTTACACTGATTAATCATTTGATTCTTTATTGGGACGAAACAAACGTTTGGAAAGCGCTTTGAATTAAATCAATTAAAAGTAGCTCCAGTGCTAATGGTCTGGTTTGTGATTGTCAACTGTCATACTTTCCCTTATATCCCATAACTTGAAGTGAAGTGCTAGTTGCGGTTATTCTTAGTGMGGTTTTTGCTTCCATGTTTACGTAATATCAATATGAATTTTATGCGTTTAGGTTTCGAATATTCTAAAATTATTAAATTCGGAAATCTTCGAATTTTTTTCTGGTCTGCACTCTGTAGTCGCACACCGGTTTTTTATTGATCCAACCCAATATCGAAACCATCAATTCTTTGATAAAAATTTAGCCTTTCGTAGAATTGCGGGCGAGTCACCTAACWATTCTACTGCTTTCGAGCGTAGAAAGCACAAGGAAAGGGGTCAATTTATAGAACAGACAATAATGCATGCTTGGATCTTCAGAACTCAGGTCAAAGATCTTGGTTTTGTCCTGTGCCTAAATATTACTTTAAATGGAACTTACTTGCGATCTCTGTACGCTGATTACAGTTGCTGTATCTTTTCACTATTTCTTGATGCAAACTGTGCAAAAATATACTCATGCATCACTGAAATTGATAGATTAGTGTAGCAGAAGCAAAAGTGATCCAAACCGCGCAAAATTGCCGCCAAAATATAGCTTTGATGGAGTCATTTGACACCGATCATAGTTAAGTCAAGGTTACTGCTGATGTATCAGAATCTGTCTTTGATAACGACTGTCATTGTGAAACCGCAGCCTTTATGTTTTATGCCCATGGTTCCTAAAAGA